CACAAGGGAGCCGCATAAGTGCCTCGTAGGCCTCGCGTCGGCGAGCCAGGAACTCGGACTCGGGCCGGTAGCGGGCCCGCTCCAGGCGCAGGGACTCGGACAGGGCTTAGGTCCGGGCGCGCTCCCTTTCGAGCTCCTCCTCGAGCCGGAGGTTCTCCTGGTGTTGGCGCTGGAGGGCGACGGGCGGGCGCGGTCCGCGGACGGCGGGTGGCGGCGGCGCGGCGGGGCGCGGGGGCACGGCGGCCCCGGACTGGATCCGGGCGGCCGGGGTTCTTCGTCGTTGCGAGGCGGCACACAGGAGGCGGCGCGCTATGGATTGGATTGGATTTATTTGATCTTTTCATATGCACATATGATCTGGGCACATATGATGATATGGTTAGAGCAGCGCTGCGGACTGGATCCGGCTCGGCGACGGGCTCGTCTGCCCGGCGTTGATCTTGTGCCCTGAGCACACGGTTGAGGAGTTCGGGACCGGTGGGCGGGGGGACTGGATCCCGCGTGCCGCGGCTTCGAGAGGCCCGCCGGCGCTCGATGTAGGGTCCCCTTCCGGCGTAATTCATTTCATCCCACACGACGCGGGCTGCGGCGCGTAGCACGCCGAACGGCACGCCACGGAGGCAGGCTTGGAGGTAGGTACCTCGAGCACACGAACAGCCCCAATGGGCTACGGTCGAAATCACAGTCCGGCATGATCGGTAGCTTCCAGAGCACGGACACAAATGATGGAAAAAAGGGATTCGGGATCGCGAGGTTGGCGACGCGACGGGAGAGGATGAATGGACCAATGGGGTTTTAGACGCTGCACATTGCACATATCAATTACTCGAGGATCTGTGAATCCGATGTCCATTTCAATGTCGAGACTTTGTCGCGCAGATCCAATCTCTAGCATCTAGAATTCCTTCCGCCTTCTGTTCCGAAACATCCAGTGTTCCCCGCAAGACTTGTTCATATCGAGCGTCCCAGGCAGACATTCCAATGTGTGCCACGTTGTTAGTCACGAGGCCGCGACGCTGTTTATCAATTGATTACAAATATATCATTGAGAGTCGGCCGGAATTTGGCCGGGAGTGTGGCCAATGGCCATAGGTATTTCTTGGAGATTATCAATAAAGAGAGAGCCCGCTGGAGAAACGCCTTGCTCGAGTGCGAATGTCGTGCCCAGGCACGTCTGGACTTCGATGGTCGACGGTAGCGAACGCCTGCGCACCTCACTTGCTATCGAGCTCTCGCGTAGTCGAGACGGATCGAAGAGCACCAGTAGCAATCCGGCAATCTCCTCGGGTATCCAGTGCCCAGATCGTCAGACCCAGTCATTCTAGGGATACCGAGGGATAGTTCGTAACAACAGTTGCCGGAAGAAGGGTCATAGGCAAGCGAGGTGCCCCGAAAGGACGAAGGACGACCGTCAGTCGTACAATACGGCTGGGTTCTCCGGACTCTTTCACGAACGCATCGCCTAGAAGCCAGACAACGGATACCAATAGAAGTGATAGGAATTTCCGTGAGTGGAAACTTCACTAGATCAGTCGGGATACCAGGAGGAGGACAGAATTCAGACTTCAGAATGACGAGGATGCCTTCTGTGTGGTCACAGAGCAGAGAGTAACTCTATTCGTTTATTCGTTGAATATATAGGATGATATTTGTGTCAAGGATCCAGTAGGTAGAGAGAGTGAACGTCCTAGATTTACATCCGGAATTTACTGACTGAGTTTTAGAACTAGGTCGCTGAACTAGAAAAGTATCTGATTGTGTCTATTTAGCATCTGGACAAGGTATATGCGTCGGAGGTTTCTGACAAACAAGAATAGAGTTTGGAGAACTCCATATTCCAGCAAGAAGTATTCCGTGGAGATCAGGCGACTGGCGACAGCGTAGTCCGTGTTCGTATAGAGGCCGGGCTGGAGCATCTGATCATAGAGCGGTGACATGGCGAGCAGCATCACCAGCAAAGGCACAGGCATCGACCGAAGCGGTCAGGCCTAGGATTTCGAAATGTTCGAAATGCCAGAGATTCTGGCATAGAGCCGAGAAATGTATTCACATGAAGGTTCTCAGATCGAAGTATGGATTCGAGGGATCGAGTTCCTCCGAACTCAATTTTCTACGAACCGCTTGGCCAGGCTAAGGTTCAACTCGAGTTAGATGGGACACCGGATAAGATCATGCATTGCGATGAGATTCTCTTAGGCCAGGATTTCCTAGATGGAGACGTGATGTCACTCTATCATAAGGGTGGATCATGGGTCGTAGATGACCAGGCTTTCGACGAAGTCATGGCAATATTCCGTAGATCGGCACCGGAACTTCAGATCAAGACGAAGCGACCGGTCAGGTTAGGACCGCGCTCAGTTTCATTCGTCAAAACTGTAGCGGTAGGCAAGAACGAAGGCTGCGTTATACTAGAGGATCGGCAAGATTTCGGGGCACTATGTGAAATTCAAGATGAAGAGCTAGTCATCCCAATCGCTAATACAGGCGACAAGGAGATCAGCTTGGAAACCGGAACCTTGTAGCGCGCGGTACTCCAATGGGAGCTGAGACGTTCTATGGAGTCAAGTGGAGAGAGGCGAGAGTGTGTAAACCGATGGCAGACGATTCTAGTCAGCCGACAGAGATCACAGGCACCGACGTTTCGATGGGAGAGGAGGTGTTACGTACACTTCCAGTCAGCGCCTCAGGGAGGCAGAGATCGGGGCTGGACAATTCCGAAAGAGGCCGCTAGGCGGCGCTCCCGATACGCCTGCCGTCGCACACAGCTGATGGCGGGTGACGTCAGTCACTCGGTCTGTCAACCACCGACTCTAAGAGAGCGAAGATATTCGGAAGTGATAATTCCCACCTACGCTGTGTTCATCGACTTCAAAGCAGCTTTCGACAACGTCAACAGAACGAAACTCCTACAAGCTGTGGCGGAAAAATTCGACATCAGGGGGAAGATTCTCAACACGTTCCGGTCCATACTCCAACCGAACAAACTCATCATCGACAGCGGAACCGATCTCAGCGACCCGGTCACTCAGTACAAGGGTGTGGCCCAGGGCGACTCGATCTCCCCGCTGTTTTTCGTTCTATTTATCAACAGCTTGCTCACAAGACTCGAGAGGAGACAGGTCCTCGCGAAAATGTACGCCGATGACCTCGTCATTGCGTCGAGCAACGCAGAAGAGCTGCAGAGAGCACTGTCTTCC